AATATGTGTCTGATGTTCTCCGGTACATTTGAGTTCAATGATGTAACGATTAGTTGCGAAAGTTATCGTAATTGATTTACTTTTGGTTTTTTTCTTTTTTTTTGTGGTTAGTTATGTTTATCGGATCCGTTTATATTGTTTGAATAAGTTTATGAAGGTAGGATAGTTTAATATTTAAGTGATCTAACAGATTTACGATCTAAATATTAGAATGTCAATGTGGAATTTGCTTATCCCTAAATGTATTGAAAGTTAGACAAGCTTCTCATAAATTAGATGGAATTAGCTGAATATGCGTAATATGCTAATTTCATGTTAGTAGTAGCATTTGGATGAATTGGATAATTTTCTTCCGGTAGTAGTGGTAGTAGCTTGCTTTTTATTTGTCTTCTTGCGTATGCCGGCTTTTTAATCTTTCTTTTAAGAATAATTTTGATGCAGTGCTTTAGAATCATTCGTTTATTTTTCCTTATGCTATATGACTTTTCGGTTTCCATTGTTTTGCCAAGAAAAATACATCATTGTTACTTTGGTAGTATGTGTAAATATGAATTAACTTTAACATATCTATTTTCAAATTTTGCAACATAATATGTCTCGATGCAATTTAAAAACATGACGATCTCGCACAATTAGCTATAAAAAATTAAAGTTTTTACCTTTTCCTTGGAAATACATTAATTAGTTTAAAAAAATTTTTGGTTATCATTTTTACGAATCTATGCTTGGTATATTGCATGACCTCTACAATAATTCATTTGTATTTGATTAACTTCCAGAAAATTTAGATTTACTAGCGATGTTTCTGTTTCCCATCATTACCAGCATGACATGCTGAAGTATCACACACTGGGTAATTTTTTTTCTTTATAATGTTTTTTTTTCCTTGATTAGTCGTGAGTTAGGTAGTTACTCCAGTGTTTAAAGTATTTTGGTCAAATTTTGATAAGTATTATTTTTACCTTGCAAACTTCTTAATATTATTAATCCACAAAAGATGATTCATAGTATCGGTTTGACGTATTACATATGGCGAATTTTCTTTCTTTAAGATTCGATATTTTCGTTGTTAAAACCATCGAAAATTTCTGAGACCCCGACGAAGTATTGTTTTTGAGAAGAAATAAATTAACAGTAAAACAAATAAAAATTTCATCTGCTAAACAGCTGTTTTCTTAATCTGTCATTTAGCAGATTCAAGCCACCAGGAAAAAAAACTGGTACAATTTGTTTGGCCAAGTTTTTTGTAAAGGAATTGCTGCTATCATATAAATGAAAGAAACAGAATTTCTATTTAAATGTTATAACATTTATCTGACAGGCGAATCATATTTTTACATGTATAATATTCATTTATCTCACATTCCTTATAGTTGTTCGAATGACAAAATTGTTTTATATTTTGAACCTTTTGTATTCAATCAAGAGATCGATAATGCACTAATACTTCCCAGGATTACTGATCTGTGCTATATATA